AGTTCATTTATTGGAAAGATTACATCATCCAAATATTGTGGATTACAAACATGCTTGGTTAGAGCATCATCAGTTGAAAAACTTTTGGTAAATCCCCATTGCATTAATGATATAAATTATGTTTGTGACTATAAGATTATATTATAGGTGTAATTTTTATATAGTTTCTATTTGTTTTCTATCGCTTGAATTTTTTTTTAGGCCCACCATTCTAATGTTTATTCATAGTAATGGAACGTGGCAATAGTGGTAATTTGGAAGAATTCATTGATATTCAACCATCCACTTTGTCCATGCAAAAAGATTCTAATTATCATCATCTTACACCAAAAGAACGTTTACTTCGTGCGGGATGTTTCATCCAAGTCATTTAAATGATCAACCGACCCTCAACTCTCCTTTACCTTCAAAATGATCTTTGAACCTTCGTGAAATTTGTTCTTTATTTATGGATATTTGTGAAAGTTTAGCTCATTTACATGGACAGGTATTATCCATCGAGATTTAAAACCTTCTAATTTACTATTACAATATGATAACTCAGAAGATTTGACTGGAATGTTCGTATGTCAATATCATCTACTATATTTACTATCTATATTTATTATCTATAACTATCAATAATTATCTATTTATTATATATTATTTAGACCAAGAGTATTGATATCGGATTTTGGTGAATGTGATAGACCTGGTGCTACTGGAACACTAGAAATTATGGCACCAGAACTATTAACCGGTAATTACAACGTAAAACAAGTATATCATGTATTAAATCTATAAATCTATATAAATATTTAGTTAATAAAATATTTATATATTTATATATTTATATATATAGTTGATGAAAGGGATCGTTATTTTAAAGAATACTCTCAAAAATCAGATATGTGGTCACTTGGAATGGTACTTTATTAGTTATGTTACTCAAATTGAAGATGTTGATATTTTGAAACAAAGAAATTATGCATTTTAATAGGTTGGTATTTTTTAATAACCTTACACCGTTAAATCTTGAAATAGGGCATGGGCATTATTTCGAATTTTGGCCAGCATTAAGCTTAATTCGGGCCAAAATTCGAAATAACACCCATGCCCGCTATTTCAAGATTTTACCATTATAACCTTATAACCTTATGTGTTACTTTTATTGACTATATTTCATTTAAATCATTTAAGCGTATCATTTCCAGATAATGGTATGACTAGTAATGCCTCGCAATGCTAAAAGTAGGCCATCATGTGATGAAAATTTAAAATATGTTGGTGACTCGCGTTCCACTTTTATTAGTATGGAGACCATGAACTTTTGCGATGAAGTAACGATCGTAACTAAAAAAAATTTTTTTTTTTTTTAAAAAAAAAAAACTATTAATTAATTTTATATTTCATATGTTAGGATCCATTCAAAGTTACTCCCATATTATAAGAACTTCAAATTCTTCACATGGAAGTTGTTCACATTTAGAACCTGAGAAACTTTCACGAATTCTATCAAATACTAGTACAGTTACAACAAACCTTGGTAAGGTGCATTCTATTTTGGTTTCAACATTTTTTTTTCCTCCTCTTTCGATTTTAACGTATCCAATTTCAATGTAAGAAACATTAGAATCTACTGATGATAATGAAATAAATGAATCAGAGTTAAGAAGACGAAGAATAAATGTTGAAGCTACTGATAGGATATCAATAACACCGGACATTATTAATACTACGTTGACCTGATTTTTTTGTTGAACAGGTAATTTGAAAGTTTGATAAAAAATTGCCTCCTATTATTTAACTAATTATTCATTATTCACTGTTGACATTTATTATATAATATTAAAGAATGGACCATTTCACGAAAACTCAACAGCTGTAATTCATTTATTTTCATCTCTAACTTTGATATCATGACTACCGTATATCATTATGGTCATTTATTCACATATATTTGAAGGTATTAGCTGGTAGAAACTTTTAAAACTTGTTAAAGGTCATTACTTTATACGTATAAGTTGTGCATATTTAAATAGAAGTTTCTTATTATATACTAGCGTGTTATTTACTGTTTGCAAATGCTTCATTTAATCACTAGTTTACCAATATATATATATATATATAGTTTTTTTTCTAAGGTATACTCTTTAATTACTTCAATTACTATAATTGCTATGTAAAGAATCTTTAAATTGACAAAAAATTGATTTATACATCTAGTATTAATTCTTTATGCTAGATTTTAAACAGCAAAATTTTAAGATTCACACAACTGCTTTGATGCAAAAATGAAACATTGAAAATATATTGAATAAAAGTATAATTGGCAAAATAGAAAATCATTGGATGTAAAAAAAATGGCATTTCAATATATTTTAGAAGAATCATCTTTGTTAAGGAAGTAGTATCAAACTAGAATATGTATATTGTATTATTAAAATCATATCGATATACATATTATTGCATAAATCGTATTCTTGATATTGTTATAAACAACAAACCTTAAATGCATCAAAAAAATAACCCAGGACACGGCCCCAAATTAGTACGTATCAACGTGATCATGGCCGATCATACGATCAAAATCGCGAAGTTATGAACGTGTCAATAAACAATACATATTTATAAATACTTTTTTTTTTATATTTCATATCTATTTCCTTTTTTTTTTTTATTACCTTTTATCATTTTTTTACATTTTTGTTTTTAAACTGTTTTTATTTATTTATTTTTTAGTTAACCGTTGGTTTTTAGTGTTATTGTATCTTTCTTTTTGTTCTTTGTTTAATTAAAAACATTATTATTTTTAAATTTTTTTTTATTTTTTGTTACTTTTTAGACTTTAGGTTTTATTCGTTTTGACCGTTGGTTCCTAGTGTTATCTTTCTTTTTGTTTTTTGTTTAATTAAGATTATTTTTATATTTTTTTTTGTTACTTTTTAGACTTTAGGTTTTATTTGTTTTACCCGTTGGTTCTGAGTACCAGTATCTTTTTTTTTGTTTTTTTTTTACTTAAAATGACTGGTTCTCAATATTTTATTTTATTTTTTAGATTTAGACTTGGTTCTGAGTATTTTGTATTTTTATTTTTGTTTTTTTTTTTAAATTTAAAACTTATTGTTTATCAGGTTTTTTTTTATTTTTAGACGACCCAATCATGAGATACACCTCTACGTGGTGGTTGGGACGAGTAGAAGAATTAGTCTTCGAAGCCAAGTAGGAGAATTAATCTCCGAAACCAAGTATCTTTCTATCTTTTTTTTTTTTATTATTATGTATTTAATTTTGTAATTTTTTGTATTTATAAAAAATAAAAAAATTAATTAAGTTATAAAAATAAATAATATTGTATTTCAAATAAAAAATTATAAAGTTTGTATTTAAAAATAATATATTTTACAAGTGTTTATAATAAAATGTTAATAGATATCGTTATTAATAAGTTGAAAATTTTACGTCTCAAGTTAAAATATAACCAATATTATGCTTTATTGAATGTTTAAAATCGATTTATGAAAGTTAACTAGAATTGATTTTATAGTATCGAAGTCAAATATTAGTCGACTTGTATTAATAAATGCGGTAAAAAAAAAATTAGCCGATAGAATTTATCGCTTAGTCATAGTCGAAAAATTATGGAAAATATAGCAAATATTCGATCAGAATTTATGAAAACAGCTGTAATTGGCTAGATACAAAATTATGGATAATTTTATTAAAGTAGATGATCATTGAACGATTAGCTATCACCCAAAATGCCACCATCTAAAACTTCTGACAAAAATTTGGATTTCGAAAGTACGCTACAAGCCGTCATTCTTGCTGATAGATTTAATGGACGATTCCGTACCATAACCCTTGATAGGCCACGAGTATGATTTTTCTGCGGCTAGAGATTATTTCATACCCCATACTGTTATAACGTCGCCTCAACCTTGTAATGTCTTTTATCACTTTACAACAAACCACCATTGAATATACCCTTAGAATTTCATTTTATATACTCTTAACGATCGTATTCTTAGCATTATATAAAGAAACTAGATAATTTTTCAATTCAGAAAGTCAAAATGGAGTCGATCGTATTCTCCAATAAAAATAATTACTATCGTAACACCTGAAGCGCGTTCAGCTGGAGATGCACTGAGAAAATTAGATGAAAAATAGTTAATTAATTCATATACAGTGATGTTGTACGTATCAAATATACATTTAGACAAAGTATTGGATGCTCATAGGTAAATTTTATACGGATCTAATGTTTGCATTTTATTCAACTATGAAGTTATAATTAATTTAATTTTATATAAAAGGCTCGAAAACCTGTTGATAATAATGCAATAATGACAATGGTATAAAACAAAAAAAAGATAAATTACATACTATATCTTTAGAATATTTAGAATATTTGATATTAAATGATTTATATAGACAGTTAAAGAAGCAAGTCCATTTCACAGGATAAGATAATTTGTGTTTCTTGATTAAGTTCTGAATTGAAATATTTCATTAAATTTGTAATATCTTTTTTCAGATCTTTAGGTGGATTCCCAATTTTCGCACTAAATGGGAAAACTAAAGAATGTGTTCATTGTGAAACCGTGGAGCTCTATCCGCGTATGGAAGTATTCAAAAGCATGCCGATGCTCAAATACGTAATGATCTTTTCGATTGTCAGATTGATATTCGTTCAGTAGAGGTAAATAAATTGGTAAATGAAAAATTTTACTATCACAACGAATTGATTCTCCTGAATTTATCTTAGGTACCAGCTTTATTCACCGAGAATTTTTGATTATCAAGATATTCGAAATGATTTGTTTATGATATTTTACATCTGATTTATTGGGAAACCCATTTATTGCCATCTTGTTACCCACTGCAATAGTGCAATTAGTGATTGAAACCATCTAGAAGAATGTCATTCGGGTCACACGGTGGTTGAACAATGGATCAACTGGTCATCATCTGGATGCTCAACTGGTGGGTAACCACGGTTGATCAGTGGGTATCTACGGTTGGTGCAAATCCGAATATAGGGATTTATCATAGCATTGTTAATAAACTACAGGTGGAACAACTGCTAGGGTGTGTGATATCATAGGATTTACAAATGAGTGACGGTCAGTGAAAACCTGTAAATCGATTTACTATCAAGAAACGACCCCTGATGAATCTGACCGTAAAAATAAATTAAATGTAATAAATACACAATTCTAACCGTTCTAGTCACTTCTATTATACATCTTATTTTGCAAAACGTTTTTATCAAACAATTGCTAAGTTAAAAATAATAACATGTGTAATAAATGTGTTACTGAATAATCAGATTTGATTATATTTCATCATATTTCATCATATTTCATCAGGGGTGTTTTATGTATTGCAGACATTCTGGTGCTGGTTATGCAACTTAAAACATGGTATTAACAAAGAACATCACATAGCAATAATGAATTAAATGAAAAAGATTTTGTTTGCATATATAAAAACTGATCTTAATAACTACTATCAAGAATTAAAAAACATTTATTATCAACAATATCTGTTACTTGCAAAACATTATAAGTAGCTTTAAAATTGCTAACAATATTGAACACATTATTTTTAGTTAAATTTACTATTATGTAGTAACTATACAAATAATTATATAGTATATAGTTTTAATTTGCTTAAGAATATTATTTCTATAAGAACTTGGATTTTTTTTTTCTTTTTTGACAATCTTGTTATTAACCTTTATTAAGATTTGTATTTACTAATTTGTACATACTTTGATTTAATTTACTGGTTTGACATCTTTTAGCTGCTTCAATAAGTGCCTAAAAATGATCTGTCATACCAGTTTGAGTAATACTTAAATCTAAGAGTTGTATTAGACTAGTCTAAAAGATTATATAAAAATGGTCATACTTTACTTTCTATATAACTTTTAATTAACCAAACCATGTTTTCTTTATCTTACTGTTTTTCACCTCTTTTGCTTTCTTAATTTCTTTAGTAATTTAGTTTCTTTCTATTCTAATTGTATTTTCTATTTGACTATATATCTCTTTATTGAATGATTTTGTATTTTTTTTTGGTTTTTTCTGCTTTAATAATTAGTTAATGTTTATTAGCTTTTTTCATTTTTTTTTTTTTTTTTTTATTTTTTAATAGCCTTGTCAAAGCTTTAATATAAAATTTTACTAACTGAAACATTATCTATTTTTAGTAATTCATCTTTGAAATTACAAACTCAACATCATTCAAATATAGAAATTGTATTTAAATGTAACTTGTTATACCAACCTATTTCTAGATTGGGAAATTTTATCAGCTCTGTCAAGAACTGAATCAGAATGGACTATTTCCATTCTGTATTATTTCATCAATATCTTTTATAAACAATCACCTATGCTCTACCTTTCTTTCTTTGTTTTTTTTTTACTCTAATCTTATTCATTAATACTTCTTTACTTTTAATTTTCTTTATATTATATTTTTCATTTTCAACTGTCTTAACTCTTTTTTATTTTAATTTCAGTGTTATTTCACTTTCTTTTTTCTATTTGACTACTATTTTATATCTTTATTATCAAATTTCTTCTCTGAACATCTCTTCTACAATCTTAATATATAATCTAATATTTTGCTTCATATCTTTATATGAAACTTGTTTAACATACAATTTCTTAAACATATTCTTAATTGCTAAGTTATATATATATGCCTCTCTATATTTAATTTTATTTATTTCTGTTTTGTTAACTAATATTCTTTTCAGGTCAAGTCTTGTAAGCTTGCTCTTGTTTAACTTATCAACCTTTTTTCATACTAATCAACATACTAACTCTTTAATATTATTCCAATAACCCTTATATTTTTTATAATTAAACAAATATCTTAATGATTCTTTCTCTATCTTGTACTTCTTAAATACATCTGAATTATACAAGTCTGGTATTCTTTTTTTTAATACCTCAAGCACTGGCAAACTATTAGTAATACATTTAATTCTAAATAAGATTTTCTTGCTCTCCTTTAAAGATTTATACTTATTTCTTATTGAATTTCTATTTTTCTATCACAGTCATCTCCAATCACATTATGCTTTTATATCTAGTTCTAGTTTTTTTTTATTACACTTGAACAATATCATTTAGCACTATTTATCATATTCATTAATGTCTTAACAAACTTTCTTGTTGATATCTCTACTACTATTTCTTTTTAAAATAATATATATAAAAATATCAAATTTTTTTTAAGCTTTAAATCTGTAATCTTACTCTGCTATGTACCTTTTTTTGTAAACTTATTAGCTTTTTTGTTTTATACTATTCTATTATATACTTTAACTTTAATTAATGATAACTTAATATTTTTCAACTTACATATATCTTTAATCTTTGTAACTAATCTAAAGTTCTTAGTTTTACTCTATGCTCTAACATTATGTAGTAGTTCTTCTCTTTCCAAGCTTGCAATTGCTATTGTATTATCTAATTTAATGACTATTTTACTATTATATGCTATAACTAATATTACTATTCACATTGTAGTTAATTCTAACTTTGTAGATAATGACTATTTTGCTATTCTAATTTTTTTTTCATTATTAATCTGCTCTCATTTTCACTAATCTGTATCTAACTTGTACCTATTCTGCAATTCTTTTTCTTTTTTACTAATAATCTGTCTGTATAAAAGCTGTAATTTATATAATCTATTTTCATGTTTTTCTCCAATTGTTTCAATAACAAGGTTTCTAAGCTACTATCAAAACCTTGCATTTCTAACAGACTAATCTTATACATATGTATTCTTATTTCTTTATCTACAACTTTTTCTTTATTATTACTTCTATTTTCTATATAATTCTCTTTATATTTATTTAGTTCTTCTAACAGAACTGGAATCTTCTGTTTGTTCTCTTATCTAATTCCTAGTAGCATGCTTACTATTTCTTTTTTCTTAACCAAATGCTAACAACTACTTGTATTATTTCTATTATCCAAATTGCACTTTTCACATTTTATAAGTACTGAATAATTTTTATCATCAATTTTAAATATGTTTCAGTAATTTATAAGTATATTTTTATTTTTTTTTTAACTACTTTGCCTATTATTGAATTCATATTTTTCTTATTTACTAGTACCTATTTATTTATGCCTTCTCTTATCTTATATTAGCTTTTTGCATATAGATCACATTGCCATAGTGTTCATGACTTATATTTGAAATTATGTTCAGACTGTTCTGTTACCTTGATTACTTAACATTTTTTGTTCAATTTCTATAAACCACTTTGCTTTTTATTCTCTTTATATACTTGTTTATAATGTTCTAAACTTCTTCTATATAATCATTTTCTTGTTATCTTGGTCAATTAACTGTTGTGTAAAAAATAATCTATATTTCATCAACCTTCTATATGCTATTCTAAATGTTTTTTTTTTTTATCAAGCTATGTACAGTTTTACTTGTATTGTAAACCTGCCAAAGATTACTTTCTCTCTTTATTGTTATACCTATTTTTTTTGTTTTAAGTATAACTAGATTCATCAAATCATTTTTCTAAATTTACTTTAAGTTGCTTACCAAAACTATATCTAATTCTTTTGATATCAATTCTGTCAAAGCAAAGTCTTATTTTACTCATATTCTTGTTATTTTACCAATCTGATCTAGCTCATTTAGCCTTCTTTGTATTGATACTAATTGATTATTAAATATTTCTTGACTTAATATTCTACACTTTCCTAAACTTTGATGCAAAATTGCACTATTTTTGTAGTCAATAACAGTCCTACTTTGTTCTTGATTAACCTAATTACTAATTGATATAAGTGAATTAGCTGCCTTTTAGATGCCTTTGTAGTTTGCAACATGTATATCAATTTTGGTATTATATATATATTATTAATATATATTAACTAACTGATAGTTAACTTTTTAAATCATAAGCTTTGCATAAACTGTTGTATGGTTCTTCTTGCCTTTTTAATAACTAAACTTTCATTTACTTCTATATCTAACCACACTCCTAGCATTCTTGTTAATATATGCTTCTCTTTAACCTATAGTTAAAAATTGTTTATCAGAACAGATTTCTTTTCTTTTCTGTACCTGAGTTAACTACCAACAGTTTTGACTTGAAACTATTAATTTAAATGTTATTG